CTCAGCCTCGATGGCCATCTAATTTCACCTACCACGGCGTTTATGCTTCTGGCTTTCATTAACACACTTCGAATTACCATCACACGATTCTCTTACGCTATTACCTCAGTGTTTGAGTTGTGGATATCCTTAAAAAGAATCAGAAACTTTCTTTTGCTGAAAAATATCCCTTCAATGGGCTTGGAATCCACTGAGAAGCCTCCTGGCCACCAACATCGTGTTCAAGAACCTAAAAACAACTTCCCAGAGCTTTATGTTCGAGGCCCCTTAAAAGCAGAAGATAAGAGTGAAGAAACAATATCCGAAAATCAAGACTTTGATAAAAACTTTTCTGTTGACAACGATACTATTCGTAACTATAGAACTGAATCTACTCAAACCTCTTTAGGAAAGTTATTAATTGAAGGTCTTTGGTGTAAATTTGATGAACTGGACGGGCCATATATCCTCCACGATGTCAATTTTGAGATCCCGGAGAAGAGTCTGACAGTCGTTACTGGTGAGGTGGGGAGTGGAAAATCTACACTCCTAGCTGCCATTGCAAGAGAAGTCGTTGCATCCAGTGGGAACATAACCTACTCCGGAAATGTGGCTTATGTCTCTCAAACTGCTTGGGTTTTCTCTGGAACACTCCGAGAAAATGTTTTGTTTGGGAAGCCTTTCGATGAAACAAAATACAACAGGGTGATTCAAGCTTGCACGCTAACTAACGACATAGGAAGATTTCCAAATGGTGACCTCGTATTTGTTGGAGAACACGGTGTCGTGCTGAGTGGCGGCCAGAAGGCTCGCGTTAATTTGGCTCGTGCAGTATACGCCAATGCTGACTTATATTTACTCGATGATCCTTTGAGCGCAGTTGATTCTAAAGTTGGTGATCACATATTTTTTGAGTGCATTTGCAACTTGTTAAAGAATAAAACAAGAGTCCTAGTGACATACACAGAAAAGTACCTTAGGATGGTTGACCAGGTTGTGGTTCTCAACAACGGATCCGTCTCAGGAAAAGGCACTTACAGCGAATTGAAAGAAAGGGGAGTAATTATTGATTCTATAATAGATGCTGGTAGTGCCATGGAAAAAAAGACCACCACTCCTAACAAAGAATCTAGCTTACGTCATAACGCAAACCGAAGCCAATTCGATAAGCCTTTGCCTGTATCCCATGAAGATATGGCAACTGGGGATATCTCCTCTTCCTTATATTGGAATTATTTTAGAGCCGGAATGCATCCATTTTTCATGATTCTTTTACTTCTTCTTTTTCTTATGACGCAAGGTAAGAGAAATATACCAGGTAACTTCCCATGCTAATTTTAACCTAGAACAAGAAAAATGATCACGTAGGAAAGAACACTGAAAAATATTAGAAAAAGAAAACAGCTATCATTAACGATAAGGGGATATTGGTGATGATCTTGTTTATGATGATGATGATAAATCCTTTTTTGATTAGTAACTTTACGAGAATTTAAACTAGCAAGCAAATCAAGTAGTTCTACGCACTACGTATGTCATCTTTGATGTCTCCATCACGCGTGAAACTTAGTAATACATATTCTTTGAGTGATCCGTAGTTTGAAACTTTTCCAGATCACCTGGAGTATACATGCATACTAAAACGCTCATAGCTTTCACGTAAATAACGCCATTTGTCCACAACTCTGAATAAATGACATTTCTATAATAAGTCGCAATCATTTTTGTTCTGGAAAACGAATATTTTTTTTTTGATTCATTTATTAGCTCTTCTTGTTTCACCCGACGTCTGGCTTTCTTGGTTCACTACTATTCAACCTGCATCGGAACAACAGTCATTGTCAGCACTGAGTACTTACGCTGCTCTAGTGTTCGGTGCTTTCGCTATGGCCATCATCCGTGCCGTCATATTCTTCAGTGTCTCCCTCAGATCATCTCAAAATTTGCACAGCCGGCTCGTTACCTGTTTGCTGAAAGCCCCAGTGTTATTTTTCGACACTAATCCTGCGGGACGCATATTAAACAGATGTTCCAAAGACATTGGTTGCATGGACGAGTTACTTCCCAGGACGTTTCTATCAGCCATCCAGTATTTTTTGTTTATATCCACAGCCATGCTGCTACCCTTGTTAACGAATATTTGGCTCTCCATTGTTTCGGTTCCAGCCGTGGTCATTTTTCTATGCTTAACGTGGTATTACTTGAAGACTTCCCGTGAGCTCAAGAGGCTCGAGGCTATTTGTCGAAGTCCCGTATTATCGCACTTTTCAGAAACCATGATCGGCTTAGATACAATTCGCAGTCGAAAAAGAGAAAACGATTTCATCGGAGAGTTTTATAGGTGAGTATGATTGCGTGAAGCAATTAAATTTGATGCTTTATAGCTACAGCTGATGACGGAAACTGAGTCCTTAAGCTGGAGAATAGGTATCATCGATCGCCTGCGAAAAGGAATATCCAAAAAGAAAAGAACCGGTCAATACGGTTCCCAGGAACCGAGAAGACTTTCCAAACTTATGAAAAGTCCTCATTCGCTTACAGAGTGTTCAATGTTCTTTTAAGTCTGACTCTGGAGAGTTTTACAGAATAAAAAATCTCTTAGAACTGAAAGCTTTCACTTCTCACGATTTTCTTTCACGCATCTTTGGTGGCGTTTTCTCGTAACTTTTAGCATCACTCTTAGATTTTCTACCAGGAACCGTGAATAAAGGAATATCGCTCATATTATCATAGCTTCACTGTGCTACGGATTTAAATTTTCCTTTGTACCTAACTGAGCCCTGAACCGTATCATGATAGCAAATGCGAAAATGCAGGTAGCTAACGGTGAAGCTTTATAAACGTCCATAAATGTCATAGAGTAAAAATAATTACTCTTGTCTCATTTTGTTGTTTTTCTAGTTTGCTTATCTTTTTGCTTCTATAACTTACAGGCATCAAGATTTACACAATCGCGCGTTTTCCATGGTGGTAGCCAGTAATCGGTGGCTTGGTTTCCGTGCTGACGTACTTTGCGCAGTATTAACAACTGCAGTGGCTTTTGCTTCTGTTTTAGCTTCTCAAAACCCAGGTATCAATCACGAAAATTCTATAGAACTGATAATACTGACAAAGTTTATCTATTAATTTAGCTATCTATAGACTTGATCAATATTATTATTATTGTTTTGATCCATTAATCTTTCTATTTATCTCAGCTTTGGCTGGTCTGGCGCTTGCCTATGTTATTGACGCGGCAAAAATCTCCCAAGTGGCTGTTAGACAATATGCTGATGCTGAGAACCTTATGACGTCTGTGGAGCGAGTCCTGGAGTACACGCGCCTCGACTCAGAACCTGGATACACCATCAAAACACTTCCTCCAAAACACTGGCCATATGATGGTCATGTGAGTTTTAAAAATGTTTACATGAGGTACTATCCAGGCGGACCGGTAGTACTCAAAAATTTAACTTTTGAAATCCAGCCTAGGAACAAGTTGGGAATCGTAGGTCGGACGGGTGACGGGAAGTCGTCCATTATATCAGCTCTCCTACGCATGCCTGAGGCCGAAGGGGAGATATTTATCGATGGTGTATGCATAACAGGTGTTCAACTTCAGGAATCGCGGAAATGTATCTCTGTCCTCGGCCAATCCCCTGTTCTCTTCAGTGGATCGTTAAGGAGAAACTTGGATCCCTTAGAGGAGTACACAGATGATGAACTATGGAGTGCTATCAAAGAGGTGAAACTCACCAGTTTGGTTGAAAATCTAGACGGTCAACTTGATCACCAACTTTTTGAGGGAGGCGAAAACTTGAGTAGTGGTGAGCGACAATTAATATGCTTGGCTCGCACTTTGCTTAAGCGAAGTAAGATCGTTATTTTGGATGAGCCAACGGCGCACGTGGATCCAAATACAGAGAAAACCATCTGGTCAACTGTGCACGAGAAATTGAAAAACTCAACGGTCATTATTATTGCTCATCGTTTAGCCACTGTTAGTAACTGTGACGGTATCTTATTGTTAAGAGAAGGCCAGATTGTTGCTCAGGGCACCGTTGATGAACTCATTGGATCTCAGAAAGGGTTATGAATACAATCTTTATTTTCAATCGCAGTTATAATTGAACGAGGTCTTCAGAAGCCTTAAGTAACCTGACTGACCAACGCCAAAGTATTTAATGGAGAACAAAAATGGATTTAATGTTGATTTTTTTAAATTTATGTACCGTAATATGTATTCATATATTGTTGATTAACCTTTGGAAATCTATTACATTTTTCTTCCAATCATAGTTATATTGTTGTAGCCTGAGAAATGAAAGGAACGTTAGGTTGAAATCGAGGGAAAGTCTTTCATAGAACATGTAGGTAAAATTATCAAATGATGAAAATAAAAAGGGTCATGATATATTAACTATCTAGTCACTTCCGATATGTGGATCGAGCACTTACAAGATAGAGGGACCATGGCACTACTAGCATCTATTATAGAATCAATAGTTACTCCCCTTTCTTTCAATTCGCTGTAAGTGCCTTTTCCTGGGACGGATCCGTTGTTGAGAACCACAACCAGGTCAACCATCCTAAGGTACCTTTCTGTGTATGTCACTAGGACTCTTGTTTTATTCTTTAACAAGTTGCAAATGCACTCAAAAAATATGTGATCACCAACTTTAGAATCAACTGCGCTCAAAGGATCATCGAGTAAATATAAGTCAGCATTGGCGTATACTGCACGAGCCAAATTAACGCGAGCCTTCTGGCCGCCACTCAGCACGACACCGTGTTCTCCAACAAATACGAGGTCACCATTTGGAAATCTTCCTATGTCGTTAGTTAGCGTGCAAGCTTGAATCACCCTGTTGTATTTTGTTTCATCGAAAGGCTTCCCAAACAAAACATTGTTACGCTGGATTTGCGTAACATTTCCTGTTTGTGGGTATTTTTAGCTGTTCACACTCCAATTTGAACGTGATTTGTATTATAAACCTCGGTATATTAGCAGTTCAATTTTGTTCATCTTGTTAAACTCCTGATGAGGTCTGTGTGATCAGACGAAACCGGTTGAATAATAAACTAAGTTGACTCGATCTGCTGATGTGTGCTGCTCACTAGTTTTTATTTTTTTTTTTAAATTTCATTTTAAAAAAGTTGTTTCAAAAATTTTTTTCAAAAAAAATTTTTTTTTTTTAATTTAAAAAATTAGCCCTTCGTCAGAGCGAATAGAGAAGTTGTGAGTTCTGTGTGTGAGTTAGTAAGCAGGAAACATGTGAACATTGTAATGAGAAAAAACAAATTAGTTGAATGAAGACCGTTTATCATACCGTGGGGATTAGGGGTTTATTTACAGATTATTTCAAGAGGACTTCCGCATATGTAAGAATTTGATTCTTAAGTACTGGCATAAAAACAAGGATGTTTGCTGGGCAATTTTTTATTGAAGCTTTGAATCAATTAAAACAATCATCTCAGATTTTTCTTTAAAACGTTACCTGTTTAATCTTGATGGAGATGAATCTGTTAGAAATATTTCTTACAAATTTTCTTTTCTGATATAGCCTCCAATAATTTTTTGCTAGGCTTCAAAATATAAGAGCTAAAGCAAACCTTAAATCTATTTGATTGATAAAAAAGCTACTTAAATTGGCCTTTGTCTTGACTAAACAAGAAGAAAAATGTAGTAGTAAAAGTAAGATCAATGTACTGATGGAAAAAGGATGCATTTACAAGGAAAAAAAGAAAGAAAAGAAGTCATGCTTTCATAATTGTGACATAATACCTTCCTGCTGTTTCGCTTGGTAAGAGGCTGTACAGGCTCTAAGAAGGAAACGGCTGATCAACAGAAATTTCATCGGCATGGTTTAAACGGTTTTAACTCTAGGCAGAGAATGGCTTTATTGGCGGCATCAACGCTTCAGTTATGCGTTTCATGGATGATGCCAGTACTTAAGAATCAAAATCCAACATATGCGGAAGTGCTCTTGAAATAATCTGTAAATAAACTCCTAATCCCCACGGTATGGTAAACGGTCTTCATTCAACTAATTTGTTTTTTCTCATTACAATGTTCCCGTGTTTCCTCCTTACTAACTCACACACAGAGCCCACAACTCCTCTATTCGCTCTGACGAAGGGCTAATTTTTTTAATTTTTTTTTTTTTTTTTTTTTTTGAAAAAAATTTTTGAAACAACTTTTTTAAAGTGAATTTTTTTTTAAAATGAAAACTAGAGAGCAGCACACAGCAGCAGATCGAGTCAACTTAGTTTATTATTCGACCGGTTTCGTCTGATCACACAGACCTCATCAGGAATTTAACAAGATGAACAAAATTGAACTGCTAATATACGGAGGTTTATAGTACAAATCACGTTCAAATTAGGTGTGAACAGCTAAAAACACCCACAAACAGCAAATGTTACGCAAAAAAATTAAGAATTTTTTTTTTTATTATTATTTTTATTTTGGAGGTTCACATTAAATCTTGAGCCCCAAATGCCAAATTTTGAAACGGTTATCAGTTTACATCATCAACTTAGTTGACAAAACCAAATGATCTCGTTATACTCCTCACAGACGCAGCACCACATTTTTTCTAGAAACTCACCAACTTTATTCACTTTTTATCATTATCGCTCATCGTTTAAACACTGTCAAAAACTGCGACGGTATTTTATTGTTAAACGAGGGCCAGAGTAGTGCTACATAAACCTTTGAGTGATGCTCCATAAACCGATGAGTGATGCAATTACACAAAAAGATGCCGACTAATACGATCTTTATTTTCAGGCGCCGCTTTATCCTACCTTATTCCTTGGAGTGAAGAACTTGTATAACAATTATGATTAGGGCTTAAATTTAACCATGATGAAAATCACTATCGTATCGATACACGTATCGACTGAGGATTTCTTATCTTATTTTGCGATCTGGTATCACAATATTTAGTCATATATGACTTTAGTGGTTTTTGGAAAACTGATATTATTTTCTTTCATTCATATTGTATTATGCAGTTGTTGTTTGACAGATGAACGCCACTAATATTGAAACCGCAAGAAAATTGTGATAGAGCATGCTACTAAACGTTTTGGAAAAGATGAAAAAATTCGAATCATTTATGTCAGAATTTAGTCAATTGCGATGTGAATTGTATAGCTTGCGGTTTGCAGAAGATAAATACATAGTTAAATAAAATAAAATAAAAAAGAGAGAACAAGGATGTCAACTGAACCCCCAAAATTTTATAAAACGCTTTTAAAGCTACAGTTTCAGCTATGACTTTAAAGCAGTTCTTAATCTTGCGTGATTCTTGGTCCAGTCTAATCATTTTCGCCAAACCTGAAATAGAGAAAAGAAAGCGAGAAAGTGGAGAGTCATCCCAAGTTTTCTATAGGCTTCTTGATATTCTTAAATTCGATAATATTGTTAAACTGAGTACGTGCCTACTCGGACATAAGATATTGAACAAGTATTCCAGTATTCCTTTCCTGTTTTATGATTCATTCAGAACAGTTTCTAGCCTGCACAAGTATAACGCCAGATACGCCTCCAAGGGTGTTTTCATCGACCAAAAGTAAGATTCAACACAGTCAAATTTACCTTTGTATATGTAGCCTCTAAATTTTGGGAAACGGTACCAACAAACTGGAAACGGCTCTCTATTAATGATTTTAAAAAGCGTTATAAAAATCATGCCCTCAAATATCAGTCACAGTTCTGAATTCCCGACTAAAAGTCACTTTGTAATCATATCTATGTAAGTAATCTTAATGTAATATCGTCATTTCGTTTTCATAACACTTCTTGCCTTGTGAATTAGTTTAATTATTATTCCTTTCCTTCGTTCCTTTCTTTACTTGTAAATAAACAGCAGCCAACTCGAAAGCTTTGCTACGTTGGCTGTTGCATACTGATTCAAAAATTGTACATATAATTATATAATGTCTATCAATTTCGTTTTTCTGTAGTTTTCTTTTTTTTTTTTCTTTTTTTCTCTTTGTACCTGAATCGTGTGAATAAAAATATTGTCATTGTTGTCATCGTCATTGTCAATAAAAGTTCTGGACGGATATAAAGCTTCACGCTCAGCTACCTGCATTCTCCCAATTGCCATCATGGTACGGTTCTTAGCTCAGTTTATGTACAAAGGAAACTTTAATTCCGCAGCACGGTGGAGGTGTGATAACATGGGCGATATGCCTTTATTGTCTGTCCTTGGTAGAAAATCTTGAAGTCATGCTGCAAAGTGAAAGTTTCGAGAAAATGCTACTACTAATGCATGACGGAGAAGCGTTTTAAGTTTTCAGTTCTGAGATTTTATAATCAGAAAAATTCCCCAGAGTCAGACTTAAGTAAATATTGAACACTCTCAAAGTGAATGACAACTTAATGGATAATTTGGAAAATCTTATCGGTTCCTGGAAACCGTACTGACCGGTTCTTTATTTGGATATTCCTTTTCGTCGGTGATCGATGATAACTACTCTCCAGCTAAACCACTTGGTTTCCGTCATTAATTGTAGACCTGGCTCCTTAACATTATCTCAGTCAGAAAAGTTAAAACTTCCTTTTGTGTATGTATAAAAGAAATTTTCATTGTTGATATCCCAACAAAGCAGTGATAAACGGAAATATGGTTATATGCATTCAATATAGACCTAAGTACTAATCTAGTAGTAGATCTAACTTTACGCACTTGGTTCCCACTAATTTGCTTGCTCCTTACGTTGTTGTTAAGCATTAAAACTCATTCAGTAACTCTTTTAGGCGCTGCTCTTTAAACAATTCTCTTATTAAAACTGAGTGACAACAGTTTTACTCTTTTTGATTGGGGAAGAGTTCAAATTTTGATGTTATGACTGCAATATCCAAGCAGCAGGTCATTTTCACCGAAGTACTATTCACTGAAGCTTTGTAATTAAAACTACTCAGGACATGAAATCAAAAATATTAGACGAGAAAATTGCCGAACTTTATAACATCAATTTGACATATTGAATTCTAAATACAACTTTTCAGAATTATGAAAGTTCATTTTTGTCTGATATTTTGATAATGGTACCCCAAAAAAGCTTCCTCTCCCATCAAAACTCTATAATTTATGTGATTATTCTACTCATTAAGACTCCCGTATAATAGTCTTTTTCCGTAGAATCGTTTTTGTTTCTCCTGTTGACTGTTAGCCATTTGCCCTGACTACATGCTCAACCCTAAGAAAAGAGCTGGATAATTGCAATATTTAGTAGAAGGTCATTTCATCGAGATCCTAATCAGTGAGACTCTATTATCAAATTTACGCAGGAATAAAATATTAGAAATATCGGACGAAATTGTCGAACCGGGTAGCATCAAATCGGCGTATTCGTAACTCTAAATATAACTGTCCTTAATTTAGAAGTTAGATTTTT